AGTCCTCCCCATCTTAAAGTACATAATGTAGTGGTGATGCTGATTTTGATCACTTGGCAAAGATGGTATCCACTGGGCCTCTACACTGGAGTTACCATTATCCTCTGGAATATTCAAAGAGATTCTTGATTCATACATTATTTATAATATTCCGGTTCTTTTTATCCCCCCTCATTCCAGTTCTTTTTATTTTTTTATTTTTTTAAAGATTTTATTTATTTATTCATGAGAGACACACAGAGAGACAGAAGCAGAGACACAGGCAGAGGGAGAAGCAGGCTCCCTGCGGGGACCCCGATGTGGGACTGGATCCCGGGACTCCAGAATCACACTCTGGGCGGAAGGCAGGCACTAAACCACTGAACCACCCAGGGATCCCCCCAGTTCTTTTTAAATACCATACATGACACACTACTATTGTTTTATATAGACCACTATTTCTTTGAATAGACATGTGACTACCATTTTACTTGTTCACTATTCTATCGTGAATTTCAGAAATTCCTTTTAAAATATATCTTCCGTTTTTTTCCTCTAAAATATATCTTTCAGAAGTTCCTTTTGAGCAAGTCTCTTTGTAGTAGAAGTTCCCAGTTTTATTTACCTGTAAATATTTTTTCTTTTCCTTTTATTTTTGAATGATAACTTGGCTGGATGCCCAACTCAAGAATGATAGGGACTTTCTGTCAACATTTTGAATGAGTTATTCTGCTTCCCATCTGGCTTTCACTGAAGCTGCTAGGATGTCTGTTCTTATCTTGTCATCCTGCTGTAGGTGTTCCTTCTCTTCTCTCTGACTGCTCTCAGTTTATTTTTTGTTAAAGATTTTATTTATTCATTTGAGAGAGAGAGATAATATGTAGAGAGCATTAGCAAGGAGAGAGGAAGAGGGAGGAGAAGCAGACTCCCTACTGAGCCGGGAGCCAGATGTGGGATGTGGGACTCAATCCCAGGACCCGGAGATCATGACCTGAGTCGAAGACAGACGCTTAACCATTTGAGCTACCCAGGCACTGCTATTCTGTAGTTCTACAATGATATTTCTTGGGGCACCTGGGTGGCTCAGTTGGTTACACATCTGCCTTCAGTTCAGGTTCATGATCCCAAGGTCCTGGGATGAAGCCCCATATCAGGGTCCCTGCTCAGTGGGGAGTCTGCTTCTCCCTCTGCTTCTGTTGCTTCCCCTGCTTGTGCTCTCTCTCTCTAATAAATAAAATCTTCTAAAAAAAATAGCATAATGATACTTCTTTTTATTTATTCTGCTTGGATATGTTGTATATCATAGATCTCTTGATTCATATTTTTCATTAGTTCTGGAACATCTATAGCCAGTATTTCTTCTAAATATTGCCTTTGCTCTATTATCTCCACTTTCTCCTTCTGGAACTCTAATATATGTTACTCCATCTCATTATATTTTTCATGTACTACTTTATATTTTCCATCTCTTCTCTCTTTACTATATTTTAGATATATCTTATTTATTTTTTAATTCACCACCACCACCTTTTTTTCTTTTTTGCTGTGGAACAGTTTTACTATCTGCTCTGGGTTTTAGCAGTGGCTTTACTCTTGTCTTATTAAAAGCGTCCTGTTTTGTCCTCTGTTAAGGCTCTTGGCCCTGGCATGGCTGGGGGATGGGATGGGGGGAGGAGGGAGAGAAAGAAAAGGGTAGGAAGGGTAGACAGGGTTCCTCTATTCGTTGGCAAACTCCTGATTCCAGTAGGGGCACAAAGGCCAGAGGAGAGAAGCCCCAGGGCTCTGGTGGTGGCTCTCACATCTTCGGCCATCACGCAGGAGCGAGTGCTGGAGGCTGGCTCAAGATAAACAAAAGGAATTCTGGGAATACAAACAAAAGCCTGAAGCCAAGGCCTTTTTTTCTAGGAAAAGTCCTCTTTGCTGTCCACAGAGAGCCATCCTGCAGAGAGTTTTATTCCTTACAGAAAAGCAGTCTGTCCCCTCTTGCCCTCCCTGATGTTTGGCCAGCAGGAAGGTGGTCTCAGACATCTGGGCCCCAAGTGCTTGTCGGCCCTTGTCTTCCCCTCTGGTTCTTCTTCCTACTCAGATGTACTCTTGGGCAAGTCATCTCCCATTTGCTTGGAACCTTCTGGATTGCATATCCCACATGTATTTGACAGCAACCTTGGATTCAGCCATCTCCTAACTGAAAAGCGTCAGCATGTAGAACTGCTCTGGAGTCAGTGTGTCACCCTCCTTGGACATCTCATAGTTAAGCAGCAGGGTCACCACACCTCTCTTGAGGCTCCATGGAGTGGGGGAACTGCTCTAGGGGTCACAGTGAAAGTTGCTTTGTTTCCAGCTTGAGCAAAGTCCATTTCCATGTATTTTGTAAACCACTCATTCATTTCCTCCTTGGTTGGTGAAAAGGAGACCGACCCTCACCCCTCAACTTCTTGCTGACTGATGCAGGCTTTGTACTCATTAGATGGGCTTGGTCCCAAGGCCACCATTGTCACCTTGTTTTTGCCAAAAAACATCTGGCTGGGCTTCCAGGTGTTGCAGATGTCTTTCAGCTTGCTGTTGTTCATGTTGGCCATGGAGAAGATGAAAAAGTACTTGTATGCATCCACGCACTTCCAAAACTCTTCTATCAGGCTCTATTTCAGTTCTAAGCCTTCCTTGGCAGTTTTGGTTAAGGAAACTCTTGTTGAGCTTGGATTTGTGTATATATTCCAGACATATTTTACAGTGTGCCAGCTATCCAGTTGTTCTAGCATCATTATTGAAAAGACTACCTTTTCTCAATGCTCCAAAGTCCCATATTTTTCAAAAGCCAAGTATCCATATGTTATAATCAAATGTCTGTTTCTGGGCTTTCTATATATTCTATTGATCTATTTGTTCTCATGCCAGTGCCATATTATCTTAGTTATTATAGCCTCATAAGAAGTCTTCATACTCAACAAACAAATCCTCCACCTGATTTTCCTTTTTTAAGGAACATCTTGGCCCTTTGTCCAAAGACTTTTAAGAATCAGCTTGTCAAGTTCCACAAAAATAAGGTTAGGATTGAATTTATAATAAGACCGAATTTATATATAAATTTGAAAAGAATACCACTCCATTTATTTAGGTCTTCTCCAATACTCTCATTACATTTTGTACTTGCATGAAGTATTTTTCTGTAGAAGTCTTATACAGTTTTGTTAGATTTATTTCTAAGGACTTGATTTTTTTTTAATTGTAAATGATACCTCTTTAAACTTTCATTTTTCTAACTCCTTTTTGTTAACAAAAGGAAGGAAACTTACTTTTGTATATTGATTTTATATTCAAGAGCATTATTTAATGTTCCTATTGATTCTAATAATGTATCTGTAGATGATCTTGGATTTCCTACATACATAATTATATTATCTGAGTAATGACATGTTTATTTCTTAAATAATTTTTTTACCTTTTTTTTCTTGCCTCATACCACTACCATATCCAGTATAATACTGAATAGAAGTGATGATACAGGGCAACATTTCTTGCTTCCAATATCAAAGGAAAGCTTTCACTGTTTCACCACTAGGTATGATATTTATAGAAGATTTTTTAATGGCACTCTTTAGTAGTAAATTAAGGAAATTACCATCTATTCCTAGTTTGCTGAAAGTTCTCTCTAAAATCGTGAAAAATGTTGCAGTTTATCAAATGCTTCTGCATCTATTGAAATATGATTTTTCTCCTTTCGTCTCAATGTGGCAAATCACATTAACTTTTTTTTTTTTTTTAAGATTTTACTTATTTATTTGACAGAGAGAGAATGAGAGAGCACAAGCAAGGGAAGGGCAGAGAAAGAGGGAGAAGCAGAATCCCTGCTGAGCAGATAGTCCAATGTGGGACTCAATCCCAGGACCCTGGGATCATGACCTGAGCAGAAGGCAGTTGCTTAACCAAGTTCTTCAGGCTCCCCTCACATTAATTTTTTTTCCACATTAATTTTTTAATGTTAAAATCCAACCTTGAATTTCTGGGACAAATGCACCTTAGTCACAAAATACTCTCTTTATATATTGCTGGTTTCTATAGTACTTAGAAAACAGTTTTGTACTGTTTAGAATTTTTGCCTTGAATAAAGTTGTCTGTAATTTTTCATGCTGTGCTTATTATGTGTTGATATCAAGGTTAGTGCTAGTGTCATGAAATAAGCGGGAAAATGTTCCCTCTTTTTCAGCTGTCTTTGGGAGTCTGTAAAATATGAAATCATACCAGCTTAATAGAAAGGATTTAATATAGGAAGTTGTGTAGAAATGTATTAGAGAACCAAAAAGGCAAAGGGGGACCTTCAGTAACAAAGAGATAGTAAATACCACCCCACGCCTAGGATGAAGAGATGAAGGAAAGAGGTTAGGTTACAAGCTGGGAATCCAGACTTCTGAGGAGGCGTGCTGCATAGCTGTGCAGATACTTCAGGAGTCATACAAAAGACATATAGTCAGGCTTTAGTTCTTGAAAAAGATATTTTACTTCGAGTTAGTTTTATAGAAAGCTCTCTTAAGATATTTTACCTCTACCTATTAGAAAATTGTGATAATATACTGAATTTGTTGAGACACTTCAGTACCATATATAAACTACAACATCCGCTTGCAAATGGCATTCTTTGCATATCAGGGAGCCTCTGGCTTTTTGTTTTCCAAAAATTTGCTGAGTTTTTTCATTCCTGTGTCTCATTTTCTTTGACCTTTTTTATTCCTTTCTATAATTCTAATTTGATTCCAAGAGTATCATGTGATAAATGCATGCAATCAATAAACTAGCAATCGTATATAAAGCTAGCTTATTAGTAATAAATGTCTTATTTTTATATCTATTAAATTATTCACTATAGAATAAAATTATTATAAAACTCATTTGTAATTTCAAGATCTTTATTATATGTCTTCTTTTAATACCAATATTTGTTTTGTAGGTTCAAAGGAGAAAATTAAACATGAAAATTAAAACTGAGTTACAATCTCATATTGGTGTAAAACATTCCAGCAAATAAGATGTCTGAAAAGGAGAATACTTCAGAAGAGCTGGAAGATACCACTGGTCTATTTAGCACAGAATCTAGATCATGGTCAGTGGAGCCTGAATTTATTAAAGAAACATCAAATTTGTTAGAGGAAGCTTGTGTTGGGAAATCTTCCAACCAAATTTGTGAAACATATCCTAGAAATGATAAATTCGGTATGTATGATGATACATCAATACTGTCCCATGGAAATAAGTCTAAGAAAGATGAAGAGCAAAGGTCTAAGAAACATAATGAACAAACTCTTCAATTTTTTGAAACAATCACTATATATGACAGCTTGCAGTCAAAGAGTGATATTTCACAAAGTCCACCATTATCAATAACTGAGATGGCTGCTGAATACCAGCCTTTCATTGGCTTCTTATCTCATGAAACAGTAGAAACAACTAGTTCACAACTCTCTGAAGAAAATCAGAAAGGACTTGGCTTGGAATCAGATAACTTTACAGTTAACCTCAAGGCCAAGGGTTTACAAGAATTCCCTAAGGACATTTTAAAAATCAAATATGTAAAATATCTATATTTGGATGGGAATCAAATCAAAAATTTTAAAGGGGCAGACTCAGGAGATCTGCTGGGACTTGAAATTCTATCCTTGCAAGAAAATGGGTTATCATCACTTCCACCTGAAATTCAGTTATTTCATAATTTAAGGGTATTAAATGTCAGTCACAATCAAATATCACATATACCTAAAGAAATATCGCAGCTTGGGAATATCAGGCAACTCTTTTTAAATAACAATTGCATTGAGAATTTTCCTTCTGGCTTAAAAAGTCTTGGAAACTTGGAAATTTTAAGTTTGGCTAAAAATAAGTTAAGACATATACCAGATACTTTGTCTGGTTTAAAAAACTTGAAGGTTCTCAATCTGGAATATAATCAATTAACAATATTTCCTAAAGTTCTGTGCTTCCTTCCCAAGTTAATTTCACTAATCCTTACTGGAAACCTGATAAGCAGTTTGCCAAAAGAAATTAGGGAGCTTAAAAATTTAGAAAAACTTCTGCTGGATCATAATAAACTTACCTTTTTGGCGGTGGAAATTTTTCAGTTGCTCAAAATGAAAGAACTCCAACTAACTGGCAATAAACTGGAAGTCATTTCACACAAAATTGAGAATTTTAAGGAACTCAGAATTTTAATACTTGATAAAAATCTATTGAAAGAAGTTCCAGAGAAAATTTCCCACTGTGTAATGTTGGAATATCTTAGTCTTAGTTGTAATAAATTAATGGAACTTCCTAAGAACATCTACAAGCTCAAAAATTTAAGAAAACTCCATGTAAACACAAATAATATAGTGAGGATACCTGAAGATATCTCACATCTTAATAATATAATCAGCCTAGAATTTTCAGGAAACATAATCACAGATATTCCCATTGAAGTAAAAAATTGTAAGAAAATAACTAAAGTTGAACTCAGTTATAATAAAATAATGTATTTTCCAGTAGGTTTGTGCGCTTTAGATTCTCTTTATTATCTGAATTTTAATGGAAATTATATTTCAGAAATACCTGTGGATATATCTTTCAATAAACAACTGCTTAATTTGGAGTTAAATAAAAATAAACTCCTCATATTTTCTGAACACTTATGTTCTCTTACTAATCTTGAGTACCTGGATCTTGGTAAAAACCAAATAAGGAAAATCCCACCATCTATCTCCAATATGGTATCACTCCATGTTCTTATTTTATGCTGTAATAAATTTGAAGTTTTCCCTATAGAAGTGTGTACTTTAGAAAATTTGCAAGTACTTGATCTTTCAATAAACCAAATACAGAATATCCCTTCAGATATCTGTAACCTAAAAAGAATCCAGAAATTAAACATCTCAAGCAATCAATTTATGTATTTTCCTATTGAACTGTGCCAACTTCAATCATTGGAAGAGCTGAATATAAGTCAGATAAATGGAAGAAAGGTAAGAGATTGATATTTTGAGCTTTGGAGGGAAGTTGTCACTGGAGGGGATTAGAATTTAAACTGTAGTATATGTGTGCTTTAAACTTAGCAGGAATTTTTTATTTTTTTAAAGAAGAAGGTTTTTTATTTTTAACTCCAAACATGGCTTTAAAAATATATTTCTCAACATGAAAGCTTCATAGAAAAATATTTCATTAAAATAAAATTCCAAGTAACTAAAGTTGACAATTTTATATATTTCTTTTTATTTCAGTTTAATTGTAAAAAGGAGTTTTAAAGTTACGGATAATATAAAAACGGTATTGAAAATTTAGGAAATTGATAAATCAAAGTAAAAAAAAAATCATTTCAGAAGCATACCATTGTAATATAACTATTGGTCACTTGTCATATGTTGATACAACTCACTTTAACTCTTTTTTATGTGTATGGTTTATAAGCAATTATAAAAAGATTCTACACTCAATTTTAATTTTAATTTCTTCTATTTTCACTTAACATAAGCATTTCCCCATAATATAACGCAATCTGCCCAATAATTGCTATAGCCTATACAATGATACATGTACTAATCATATGTTGTATGTTTTTCAACATCATATATAATGCTGTGATGAACTTCTTCATAAATACAGCCTTTTTCACATTTTACTGTTTTCTTAGAAAATTTTCCCTAAAGACTTGCTAGATCAACAGGAATAAATGTTCTTATAGTTTAGCTTTTCATTCTACTTGAACCATAAGAATTAATATTATGGAAATAGTTTTAAAAAATCAAACATTGCTGATTTATATTAAGATCTTAGTAAAATAATGAAAAGGATCCTAGGGCTATTATCTGGCTATGTTTAATTTGACAATTACAGTCAATTAAAGTCCTTTTATAGAGACTGGACTATTTTATAGAGGCTGGACTATTACCTACAGCGAGATTTCCCAAAGTCGATCCTTAAAAACCTAGTCCCAGGAACTGCTTCTTAAAAAAAAGGCGGGGGGGGGGGGGTCGTTCCTGTGATCAAATAGCTTTGAGAAGCACTGCTTTCTTCTCTTAGAGAATCACAATGAATATTAGTATTAAAAGCTCTGAAGATTCCTGCACTAAAGAAATTGGTTTGTCTCTATTTAACCCACATTTCCCAAACATATCCTTTTAAACTTAACATCTGCTATACAATACATTTCCAGAAAGGCTACTCCAGGGAACACTTACTTAAGTAGCTGGAATTGAAAATGATACATGTGTTTTTAAAGTTGTTATTGCACTAAAAGACACTTTTTGGTTCTGCATTATAATCAACTAACTCTTTGTCTGATTTATAATCCTCTCACTTTCTCCTCCTGTATCTTACTGCGCAAGTCTACAGGGTTGTGCCCTTAACCTCCTCTTTTCTATTAACTTCGTACCATACTATTCCTATGACCCTCAAATCTGCATAACTGGAGCTATCTCTCATCACTGCTTTAGTCCCATAGTTCACAGTTTCTCTGGAAATTCTGTTCTTCTACTGTCTCAAACTTAACATGACTTGAAAAATCAAACGCATCTTTCCAACATTAACTCCCTTCGTAACTTTTCCGTTTGTTTGTGATGCCACTTTCTTCAGACCTACCAATCTAGGAATCATAAAATCATCTTTCTTCCTTTTCCATCACTAGTTACACTGAAACTTACACCAAAATTGTCTCATTTTTCCTTTGAAAAAGCTCTTAGATCAACTCCTTCATTTTCCAGTGTCACTATCTCCAACCTGGTCCATGGTCATCACTCACTTCATGCCTAGACTGCTCCAGGAGCCTTTTGACTATTCTCTTTGATTTAGCCTCCTTTCATTTATCAGGACTTGTCAAAGCCATCATAGTTCATTACAGAAGACTGTTTTTAGGAATCCAGTGGTTGCCAAAGGCACCAATCCATATCATCACAACCTCACTTCAAAGGTCACCAGGTGGGGGTGCCTGACTAGCTCAGTGGTAGAGCATGTGATTCTTGATCTTGGGTTGTGAGTTCAAGTCCTCTATGTTGGGTGTAACACTTACTTAAGAAGAAGGTGGGGGTGGGGAATGCCTGCATGGCTCAGCGGTTAAGCGCCTGCCTTCAGTCCAGGGCGTGATCCTGGAGTTCCGGAATCGAGTCCCACATTGGGCTCTCCGCATGGAGTCTGCTTCTCTCTCTGCCTGTGTCTCTGCCTCTCTCTGTGTGTGTCTCTCATGAATAAATAAATAAAATGTTTTTTTAAAAAAGGAGGCAACTATGTAAAATAAAACTGGATATCCAAGGACACCTGAGTGGCTCAGTGGTTGAGTGTCTGACTTCGGCTCAGGGTGTGATCCTGGAGTCCTGGGATCGAGTCCTGCATCGGGTTCCCTGCATGGAGCCTGCTTCTCCTCCCTCTGCCCATGTCTCTGCCTCTCTCTGTGTCTCTTGTGAATAAATAAGCAAAATCTTTTAAAAAAACCTGGATATCCTTAGGAAAAAAAAACACCAAAAAAAAAAAAAAACCCACCAGATGGAAAAATGATTTACAAAAACTCTTCTTTAAAAATATATGATTGGAAAGATCACTTTGATAGCCCACTTGGGGTGGAGGATTAATTTATAACAGCAGATGGTCACTAAACAGTCATCTGAAGAAGATGAGTTCAGGTTAACCATGGCTTTTATTTTACTAAGTGAAGGGTGCCCAACAGGAGTTTTCCTTCTGTAATAGCTCTATTATCACATGGTTCTTAGGTATGTCCTCTAATAAATGCTGAGTAAATGCTTAAAGAATATTGGTTTTATTATGTTTTAAATTAAATTTAAATTTAATAATTTAAAATTATTATTTTAAATTTAATAATTTAAAATTATTATTATTTTAAATTTAAACCTATCCCCCTGTCTTGACCTGACTCCTACATGCTAGGGCCACAAGGGCTGCCATGGCCCAGTTCCGTATTCTTTCTCCAGATATATCTCCCTCTGCTGTCTATTACCTCTTTTTAGTGTTCAGCTTCAAACTGGCCCATTGTTATGCATGGTATTTGTCTTGCCTTAAGTCCTGTAACTTCCATTCAATCTTACTCATTCTTAAAAGGCCATTCTAGTCCCATCTGCCATACAACACTTTCCTTTAGCTCTCTGATTTGTACTGATACACATTCTCTAAACTTCCATATGTTATTGTATTCTTTATTTTGGCACTGGATTACCTATTGTTTAATACTATTGCCTGATGGTTTTCTATGTGAATATTCTGTTCCCTGAACTGAATTTTAATCTCCTTGAAGTTAGGGGGTGTTTTTAAATCCTTTTTTAATATACGGAAGAACATTGAGCACAATATTCAGGATTTACCTTGTTTTTTGGTTATTTCTGAGGGGCTCATTTATTCAGAATTCTTTGCTCAGTCATAGAGATTTCTTCATTTCAAAAGCCACCTGTGATGGTCATATTTTCTCTGAATATGTGCATTTGTTCTTCACCACAGCAGGGTATCTTAATTCCTATTATTTTGCAATACATTCTGTACTAGTTTTTTTGAGGCTACATTGCCAAGCTGCGTGAGTCCATTCTAAAGGGGTTTATTGAGCACTTACTCAAAATGCATCTTGACTGGGAACACGTACACAAAAAAAGTATAATACAAATATCATGTCATTTAAAAATCCAAGGAAAATACACACAAGAGACTAATAAAAAGCACTGTCGATGAGAATAGGAATAAAAATATTATATGTAGGACAGAATAGTTGGGAAAGACTTCAGGGAGGAGAAGAAACCAAAGCGGGTCAGATTCAGGGAGGGAAGAAAGGGATAGATAGTAAGGAGCACTATGTGCTGGAAGAGTGAGGAAAATGGGCTAATAAGCCCACTTGGTTAAATTGGTAGCACTGGTCAGACTAGGGAGGTCCCTGGATGCCACACAATATACTGTGGATTTTAGCAAGGAAGGAAGTCACAAAGAATTTGTGACATAGTGAAAATATCCCTTTTTAAGACCAAAAAACCAAACTTCCATTGGATTTTAGACAAAATTTTAGTCACAGAAATATTTATGAAAAATATAATTATTTAATCTTTGTTACAGTTAAGAAGACTTCCAGAAGAACTGTCTAATTTGACTCAACTTAAAAGACTTGATATCTCAGATAATGCAATCAGAGAGATTCCAAGAAATATAGGAGAACTGAGAAGTTTGGTTAGTTTAAATGCATACAACAATCAAATAAGTTATCTGCCACCATCTTTTCTATGTTTAAATGATCTCCAGCAACTAAACTTGAGTGGTAAGTGTCAAGTGTAATCAATAATAAGCATAATCGGGATCTCTGGGTGGCGCAGCGGTTTGGCGCCTGCCTTTGGCCCAGGGCGCGATCCTGGAGATCCGGGATCGAATCCCACGTCGGGCTCCCGGTGCATGGAGCCTGCTTCTCCCTCTGCCTGTGTCTCTGCCCCTCTCTCTCTCTCTCTCTCTCTGTGACTGTCATAAATAAATAAAAATTAAAAAAAATTTTTTTTAAAAAAATAATAAGCATAATCAACAAGTAGAGTATTCATGTCTAGGTTGCAAATTTTGTTGGTAGAAAGGTAGCCAACATAACATATTAAGTGCTCAGTGGAAGGAAATGACTATCCTAGGTACAGAAAATGAGAGCAAAGCATAAGGTCCAGTTGCTTTCCTAAAAGAGGGTATAACCCACCTGGGGATCCTGAACATATTCTCTTTTCTTTTCTGTCCTCTCTTCCTCTATCCAGTCATTAAGTATTTCTTTCCTTCCTAAACCTGACTTCATCCATCTCTCTACACAAACTTACCTACAGAAACTTAGAGCCACATTTTCTGTATTTTCCTTTCTGACTCCCCTAATCCTACTCTTATACGCTATAATACTTGAATATCTTACAGTCTTTTGCAAAGTAAACCTCTACAATAACAAAAAAGTGTATCACTCACTCTAAAGGTCCCAGAAAAGATTTTCCAAAGGAAATTAATACCAGACTAGTATTTTTCTTAATTTTTATTATGAAATACTTCAAATTTATAGAAAATAATAAATACCTAGGTACCTACTCCCAGATATAAAGTATATTAACATTTTGTGATATTTACTTGAGATACTTTTTAATTGTTAGGAAATAATAGAGTTGAAACTTTTTTTTGTACCTCTACTCAAACTAGAAGTAACCACTATACGGAAATTGGTATGTATCTTTTTTTCTTCTATGTTTTTATACATATATAAATATATCCATAACAAGTAGTACTATTTTGAGTTTTTAAATTTTATTAAGTCTTATCATACTATATGATATGTAATTTACTATTCTGTAACCTAATTTTTCATCTGTCATATTTCTCAAATTAATCCATATTAATATATACATACTTATTTCATTCACTTTAAATGTTATGTATTCAATTAAATGGTTATTAACAATTAATCCATTACCCTGTTGATAGATAGCTAGGTTGTTTCCATTTTGTTTGGTACTGTAAATACCCTGTATATGTTCCTTTGCTTCAGTTTCTTTAGTGCATATAGCCATAAGTAGAATTGCTAGATCAGAAGGTATGCAAATCTTCAACTTTACCAGATTTGGACAAATTGATCTCCACAATGGTTGTACTAGCTAACCACATGACTAATTGAATTTATGAAATTATATCTTTCATTTGGAAGTAGCATTTATAACCAGAGCTCTGCACTTTCTTAGATTTAGAGGATTTTCAGAATTAAAAAAAGGTAATCATTTTTGGTCAATACTCTCAGTAGTATAGTAAAACCTATAGCAATGAATCAATACTTAGTTATAATGCAACACTGTGAGGATTAAACAGTTAATCACTAAGCACAGAAAGCGATGTAGGTTTTAAATAGATGTTAGAGTCTCTCTCCAACAAGCCAGAATAACAAATGAAAGGAAGGTAGATTGACCTGCAAACTGTTCTTGGTTGTCCTCAGGGAGAAGGACTGTTCTCTGGCCTCATAGTTCTCTATACAGGCAATAATAATGCTATCAGGTAGGCTTTTCCCTTCTCCTACCTGTAAAACAGCTAGTTACATTAGTTTTGTTGTATCTGTTGTTTACAGATAATGTCCTCCATTCTCACAAGTCAGTGCTTGTGCCAAACAGTTGTTAAATATTTTGAATAGCACCACTGCTTACATATACTAATAAAACAGCCTCTGAAAGGCCTCCTACCTATAGCCTCTCTCTCTCTCTCTCTGCCCTTTGTTGTTGCCAGTTTTAAAAAACATTTTTTTTTTTACAATTTAAAAAACATTTTTATTGAAGTATAATATTACATACTGAAAAAAGTACACATTGTCTCAAAAAATTAAAATTAAAAGTAGAATTACCGTAATCCAAGCAATTCTATTTCTGGGTATTTATCCAAAGGAAAAGAAAACAGGAACTCAAAAAGACATATGCACCCTGATGTTTACTGCAGCATTATTTACCTAAGTGCCCATCATTGAAGAAAATGTGGTATGTACACACACACACACACACACACACACACACACACAGAGTATTATTCAGCCATAAAAAAGAAGGAAATTTTGCCATTTGTAACAACATGGATGGAACTTGAAGGCATTTTGTGAAGTGAAATAAGCCAAAGACAAATACTATACAATTTCACTTATATGTGGAATCTAAACAAAAGTAAATTCTTTTTATTTTTTTTTATTTTTTATTTTTTTTTAAAAGTAAATTCTTAGAGAAAACAGATTTGTGGTTGCCACAGGTAGAGGGTGGAGCTGGGTGAAATGGATAAAGGGGATCAAAAGGTACAAACTTCCAGTTATAAAATAAATAAGTCCTGAGGATGTAATGTACAGTATGGTGACTATAGTTAATACTTTTTGTAGGGGCCCCTGAGTGGTTCAATTGGTTAAATGTCTACCTTTGGCTCAGGTCATGGTCCCAGAGTCCTGGGATGGAACCTTGCATTAGGCTCGTTGCTCAGTGGAGAGTCTCCTTCTCCCTCTGCCCCTCACCCTGCTCATGCTCACTCTCTCTCTCTCTCTCAAATAAAATCTTTTTTTTTCAAATAAAATCTTTGAAAAAATAATAATACTTTTTGTATATTTGAAAGTTGCTAAAAGAATAGACACTAGAAATTCTCATTGCAGAAAAATTCTAACTGTGCTGTGATGGAAGTTAACGACTTATTATATTGATCATTTTGCAATATATACAAATATTGAATCATATGTCAATTATCTCTCAATTTTTAAAAAAGTACATACTTTAAGTATAGCTCAATGAACTTTTACACATTAAACAAACCTATATTTCAGGATCTAGATCAAGAGACGGACATTCCCAGAAACCTCTTCTTGCTCCTTTATAGTCACTTTTTCCCTTTTTCTTAACCAAAGGTAAACACTATCATGATTTCCAATACTGTCCCTTAAATGAAATCATAAAATACATACTCTTATATCTGTCTTCTTTCATTCAACATTATGTTTGTGAAAGTCACTCATATTACTCTATGTAGTTGTGGCTCATGCACTTTCAAAGCTGAATATACTGTATTTTAGTTATTCTGCTGTTGATGAGCATTTGGTAGAAAAGCAATTATTTTTTTGTGGTCAGATAACAAATTGTGATTTCAATCCTTTTAAATTTATCAGGATTAGCTCTAAAGCTCAGCATATAAGCTACCTTGATAAACACACCATCTACTTTTTAAAACGTGTATTCTGAATGTGTTAGTTACGGTGTTTTATGAATATCATAAGTGATAGTTTTGTTGGAATCTTTTGTTTTTACTGGTATGTTGTCTTGTTATACTAATTGCCTAGAGAACAGTGTTAAAATCCAAAATTATGGTTATGGAATTGTATTTTTTTTTGCTTTTATTGTCAACTATTTTATGTATGTTGAGGAACTGTTATTAGAAAAATGCATATATATGATTATTATAACTTTCAATTCTAATGAACTTTTAAAAAATTTTTATTTTATTTTTTATTTTTTTCTAATGAACTTTTTTTTGCATTTGAAATCCCCAGTTGTCAGGCTCCCAGCAGGGAGCCTTCTTCTCCCTCTGCCTATGTCTCCTTTCTCTGTGTCTCTCATGAATAAATAAATAAAATCTTTTTAAAAAAATCCCCAAATGTCCCTCTTTATTTCCAGTAATAATCTAAGATAACCACTCCAGTCTTCTTATGCTTATTGTTCACATGGTGTATCTTTTTTTTTTTTTAAGATTTTATTTATTTCAGAGAGCGATACAGAGTGAGAGAGGGCACAAATGGTGGGGAGAGGAGGGAGAAGGAAAGGGAGAGACAGACTCCCCACTGAGCAGGGAGCCTGATGCAGGGCCTGATCCCAGGACCCTGAAATTATGACCTGAGCTAAAGGCAGATGCTTAACTGACTGAGCCACCCAGGTGCCCCTCACATGGTATATCTTTACTATCAATTTACTTTCAACATATGTGTCTTTATATTTAAAATACATCCCATGTAGACAGCACCTGATCTTTATATTCAAAATTGTATTTCTCATAGGTAGCATATATAATTGGGCCTTAATTTTTCATCTTTTATGGCAATTGCTGCCTTTTAATTGGAGTATTTAGTCAATCAACACTTAATTATTGATATAGTTGGATTTATTTATTTATTTTTAAAGAAAGGAGCCTGACACATCCTTGGATCCTGAGGATCATGACCTGAGCCAAAGGCATACTCTTAAACCATCTGAGCCACTGCAGGCACCTCAGTATAGCTGGATTTAGATCAGCCATTTTACCACTTGTTTTCTGTTTCTCCCCTCTGTTAGCTCTTTTTCTGTCTCCTTGTTGAATTGTTTTTCTTTAGTTGCTTTCAAGATTTTCTCATCTTTGGTTTTCAGCAGTTTGACTATGCTATGCCTAAGTGTGTTTTTTATGATAATTAAGGTGAAATTTACACAACCTAAAATTAATAGTTTTAAAATGAACAATTTGGTGGCATTTAGCACCTTAACAAGGTAGCACAATGTACCGCTACCTCTAATTCCAAACATTCATCAACCCTAAAGGAAACACTTACTCATTAAGCAGTTGCTCCCTCTTCTCCCTTCCTCTCTCCCTCTGGTAATCACCAATGTGCATTACATCTCTATGGACATACTTAATATCCTGGATATATCATACAAATGGAATTGTACAATACATGATTTTTTTGGATTGGCTTCTTTCACTTAGCATAATGCTTTCAAGCTTCATCTATGTTGTAGCTTGTAACCGTAGTTCATTCCTTTTATAGCTGAATAATATTAC